GTGTGTGTGTGTGTGTGTGTGTGTGTGTGTGTGTGTGTGTGTGTGTGTGTGTGTGTGTGTGTGTGTGTGTGTGTGTGTGTGTGTGTGTCCCTGCCTGTGGGTACTGGGCTCCGTGCTTCTCTCGGACTCCGTTGCGGCTCAGTGTGTAGTTGTAGAAGCGGCTGTTCTTCACCAGGCCGAGCCACTCCCTCCACCCGGGGGGGACGTACGTGCCGTTGTACTCGTTCAGGTACTTCCCAAAGAAGGCTGGATCACGGATACACACACACACACACACACACACACACACACACACACACACACACACACACACACACACACACAAAGAAAGGTAAATAGTTAGAATACAGACAAGTCAGAAAGTTTCAGTTACGGAAATGTGTGTGTGTTTGTTTTTGAAAGTGGGATACAAACATCATGCTATGGGTTTGTAGTCCTCATAAGTTCAGAAAATCATGTATGTTTGGTGTGTGTGTGTGTGTGTGTGTGTGTGTGTGTGTGTGTGTGTGTGTGTGTGTGTGTGTGTACCTGTCCTGTATCCAGTGTTGTTCAGGTACACTCCGAAGGACCGCGGCTCATGCTGCCGTTGCCATGACATCGAGGAACAGTTCTCGTTGTTGGTGTAGGTGTTGTGGTTGTGAACGTACCTGAGGGGCAGAAAGAGTGGGTTTTATTTATATATTTATATTTAGTGTGGTTCAATTAAACCAATCGAATTATATATATTAAACATGATAAACTTGACTTACTTCCCAGTGAGCATGCTGGAGCGTGACGGACAGCACATGGGCGTGGTCACGAAGGCGTTGGAAAAGGAAGTCCCGCCCTCCTCCATGATGCGGCGAGTTTTATTCATCGCCTGCATCGAACCTGCCGAGAGAGAAAGAAATATCCGGTTAGTACATTATACACTCTGTACAACATTGATTGGTAATACTGTATGTATAAGGGGAATTATTTCTCACACAAAAACAAGTGATAAAACAATAGCAGTTCTGGAAACGTTTAAAAAAGACACAAATTGCCAAAATGATCAGATATTCCTAAATGATTTCTGAACAATAAAATATAAATCTTATTAGCTTTTCCTAGTAGCTCAATAATTGTGATTTAAAAGTCTGATTAATTTTTTCTTATGATACAGTAATGTCATATGATCTAGCTACTGAAAGGTTTTTGCTTTTGCTCCACCTCCAGGTTCCAAATTGTTACCTAAAAGAATACGTTGATTTTAGTCTTTTTACATCATTATGGTCATCACACGGTGACAAAAGATCAGTTATGGTATAAATAAAGCTAATCTGTTCTGTGGTGTTGTTTTCTGATGGTTAATGAGTTTCAACACTTCTAGCGTCAGTGTTATTAACAGTGAAGTGTAGGAGTATTATAAAAGTGTGTATTAGTGAAGTATTAATATATTAAAACAGTAGTATGTGTGTTTACTCACCCAGCTCCTGGTCCTGGTCGTCGGTCAGGATCAGGATGATGTTGGGCCGGATGTTGCGGCGGTCTCTCTGGAGGCGGGGCTTCTGACGCTGGCCAGCCGGGAAGTGGGCGTGGCCGAGCGTCACCGTGACGAACAGGAAGAGGAGGAGTCGGCCCGCCATGGCCTTCGACCCCTGACCTCCAGACACAATCAACCAATCAGCTGCTTCCCCCCTGGAGGCTCAACGTCTGCAAAACAAAAACAACAGACAGTTTTAAAAAGTCAGACAGAGGACAAAAAGACGATGGCATTGGTCAATTTTTCAGGCTTTGACCACCAGGAAAATTATAAAAATGTATTATTATTATTATTTTTATTATTATTAAAGACAATCTACCAGTTTTACCTGTATCGCTTGTACCTTGGACAATAAAAAAAGCACTTGAGAGTTTAATTTACGCAGCTGCACCTCCAATGGTCTTGCTTATTAGAAGTAAATATCACACTATCATAATAGCACTCTTCTTGCTGTTCTGCGTTTGAATCCTCATGGTTCATTGTTCTTATTTGTAAGTTGCTTTAGACAAAAGTGCCAGATAAATGTAATGTAACTTATCAGGGCCGCCCCTCCCTACAGGCCGATCACGCAGACTGTGTGGGGCCTCACCTCGCGGAGGGGGCCTCACCTCGCGGAGGGGGCCTCACCTCACGGAGGGAGCCTCAATGTGGCGCACCGACAGTGTAAGCGTGCCACAGTTTCACTGCAGCGAGGCTCCACTAGCAACCCCCCCCAGTCCCCCCGTCGACGCTCACGACACAGAGGGCCTCATCATATAACTTTGCGTGGGGACAATCTGTTTTTGTTTGTCTTTGGTTTTATTACTGAACATTTTCTTCTCAATCTTAAGGCTAAAATACAATTTTCCTAAAAACATACATTGGTATTTGTTTCCCCAAATGTCATGTCAAGATTTCTTAAGATTACATTATACTTTCTTCATCGTCTCTCGAACATTTTAGAGGTTTTTCTTATTGTATTTGCTATCCCAACCATTTTCTTAATTGTGAAAATGTATATTTTTTAATTCGTGAATTATCTCTGCTTCTGTCTATGCATTATCTGAATATGTTTATACATTTTTTTTGTTCGCAGCTCTCTCGTGGAATAAGCTTCCTGATCTCGATGAGACCACATGTTTTAATCATTAACTGTCTCTTTTGGTTCATAAAAATGCCTTCTCTGCTCCAGAGCTTCTCAATGCCTCGTCTTTTCTGCTGCTGCAACGCAAACGTTTCCCAAATTGGGATCAATAAAGTGCATCTTATCTTATCTTTTCTTACAAAGCTAATTTTCTTTTTCAATTGAGTTGTAATTAACGTTATTTTTAGTAAACTGATTTGTTAGAAATTGTGAGCGGCAGCGGCCCAGATATCTCTCTTTTCAGGCCTCGTGTCGAGCTGCTGCTGAAGAGAACATGTTATTATTATTTCAGCAGTGTTTGAGAGAAATGTCAGCGCAGAACGTGACGCTCAGTGTTTATCTGCTGAGTGAGGACGAGAATATTGATGAACGAGGGAGAGAAAAAATGAAAACATGATGCATGATTAACACAAACACACACACACACTGAAACAAACACACACACACACACACACACACACACACACACACACACACACACACACACACACACACACACACACACACACACACACACACACACACTATTAGATACAGTCTTTTGTTTCTCAGATAATAAAATGCTGAAATCCTATAAGTCACACAGACACAAGCACAGCGGGACAGTGTGTATGTGTGTGTGGCTTCCTTTCTGTAAAACAATGTGTGTGTATGAGACGTGTTCATCTGTACTGCGGGCTTGTGTGTGTGTGTGTGTGTGTGTGTGTGTGTGTGTGTGTGTGTGTGTGTGTGTGTGTGTGTGTGTGTGTGTGTGTGTGTGTGTTGTGTATGTGTGAGCTCACAGCAGGGTACGTCATGCAAATTAGCCAGTAATCAAAACAGAGGAGGCTTAGGGATCTTTCTCAACACATCCACCCACACACAGAGAGAGAGGTGTGTGTGTGTGTGTGTGTGTGTGTGTGTGTGTGTGTGTGTGTGTGTGTGTGTGTGTGTGTGTGTGTGTGTGTGTGTGTGTGTGTGTGTGTGTGTGTGTGTGTGGCTTGTGGTTGCTCTCATGTTAAAGTGGTCTGGAGGCTCCAGCTGTGAGCAGACTGAGATTACACACTACCCGCTGAGAGAGAGAAATGAGCCCCGCTCGCCCAGTGTGAGGGTTCAGTGGACCTCTGTTCTCCAGATGAACACGTAGAACGGTTAGCAAATGTAAAATGTGTACAACATTTAGAATTATTTTAGAAAATGTATAACCTTTAGAACATTAAGAATGGTTAGAAAATGTAGAATGTATAGACGTGTGTAACATTTAGAAGATTTAAAATCTTTCGAGTGTAGAAAATCTGAAATGTTGAGAATTCAAAGAACTATTTAATACATCTAAAAAGTCTTATACATTTAGACAGTAGAACGTCTACATTGTTAAGAACAATTAAAATAAAATAAAAACGATAAGAATATTAAGAACATCTAGAACGTTGAGTAACATTCTGAACGCATATACGATTTAAGATTTGAAATGTGGACCCAACATTTCCTGAAAGAGGCCCTATTATGCTTTCTGGGGTTGTTCCTTTTTTGTGTTATTGTGTACAGGTTAAAATCCCAAAGTTCCCTTTCACAACAGAGCCTGCCAGCTAACCAATCAGAGCAGACTGGGCTCTGGTTTCAGACAGAGGGTGAAAAGAGGTGCTGCAGCACAGGCAGTATGAGAACAATAAAGAGCTTTTTGAACATTAAAGCACGAAGACATGTCCCAGTAGAGACACTACATACTGATATACACCTGAACATCAGCAGGAGAGGACTCTTTAAAGTAGAGACACTACATACTGATATACACCTGAACATCAGCAGGAGAGGACTCTTTAAAGTAGAGACACTACATACTGATATACACCTGAACATCAGCAGGAGAGGACTCTTTAAAGTAGAGACACTACATACTGATATACACCTGAACATCAGCAGGAGAGGACTCTTTAAAGTAGAGACACTACATACTGATATACACCTGAACATCAGCAGGAGAGGACTCTTTAAAGTAGAGACACTACATACTGATATACACCTGAAAATCAGCAGGAGAGGACTCTTTAAAGTAGAGACACTACATACTGAAATACACCTGAACATCAGCAGGAGAGGACTCTTTAAAGTAGAGACACTACATACTGATATACACCTGAACATCAGCAGGAGAGGACTCTTTAAAGTAGAGACGCTACATACTGATACACACCTGAACATCAGT